GAAATAGCGAAACTGCATAGGTCTATTCAAAGGTTAGTCGTAAATTAGCCATGCATTGGACTTAGCTATCTTAACTGAGATGTGATTTTTTTCAGATACCAGAGATCGCAGAATCATATTTCTTTGTTTTCGATCAGTTTCAGGTTTTTAGAAAAAGTTGAGCAGAAAGTGCAGAGTTGCCATGTACATACCTCCCACCCCAGCCTCCTCCCCTCCCCCATTTCACCTGTTATTAACATCTCACATTGGTGTGGTACCTCTGCCAATATGAACCAGTATCAGCACATTATTATCTGAAGTCCAAAGTTACGATTAGGATTTAGGCATGGTATTGTACATTCGATGGGTTTTGAGAAAGTTATAATGATGTGTATCTACCATTACAGTATCATATGGAATAGTTTCACTGCCCTAAAAATCTTCAGTGCTTTACCTATTCATCCTTTTTCCCTACCTGCTGGCAACTAATCTTTGTACTGTCTCTATAATTTTGCCTTTTCCAGAATTGAAAATAGTTGGAATCATATAATAATAAGTAACTTTTTCAAATTGGTTTCTTTCACGAAGTGATATGTGTTTAAGGTTCATCCATGTCTTTGCATGCTCAATAGTTTTTTAGCTAAGAATAATATTCCACTGTATAGATGTACCACAGTTTTTTTTTATACATTTACATATTGAAGGATATCTTGGTTGCTTCTACATTTTAGCAATTATGAATTAAACTGCTGTGAACATTCGTGTGCAGGGTTTTGTGTGGACATAAGTTTTCAGCTCATTTGTGTAGGTAACCAGGAGCTGATGACTGGATCATACGGTAAGAGTATATATATTTTGTAAGAAGCTGCCAAACTGTCCTGCAGAGCAGCTGTGCCATTTTAAATTCCCATCAGCAGTGAACGAGGTTCTAGGTTTTGGATTATAGTGGTGTCTTGTTTTTACTTGCAGTTCCCTAAAGACATACGTTGTTGAGCATCTTTTCATATGCTTATTTGCTATCAGCATATCTTTCGTGAGGTGTCTGTTTGGATCTTTAGCCCATTTTAAAAATTGGGTTATTTGTTTTCTTCTTGTTGAGTTTTAAGAATTCTTTGTGTATTTTGCATACAAGTTCTTTATCAGGTAAACGTTTTGCAAATATTTTCTCCTAGCCTGTGGTTTGTCTTCTATTGCCCTTTACAATGTCTTTTGTTGAACAGTTTGTCATTTTAGCGAAGTGCAGCTAATCAGTTTTTTCTTTCATGGATTCTGCCTTTGGTGTTTTACCTAAAACCTTATTGCAAAACCCACGGTCACCCAGATTTTCTCTGATGTTATCTTCAGAATTTTAACATTTTTGAGATTTGTACTTAGGTCTCTGATCCATTTTGAGTTAATTGTTGTGAAAGGTGTAACATCTGTGTCTAGATTAATTTTTTCAAACATGGATGCCCAGTTGTTTCAGCACCATTTGCTGAAAAGACTCTCCCTTCTCTTTTGGGTTGCCTTTGCTCGTTTGTCAAAAATCAGTTGACTGCACTTGTGTGGGTCTCTTTCTGGACTATCTATTCTGTTCCATTAATCTATTTGTCTCTTCTTTCACCAGTACTGCACTGCCTTGGTTACTGTAGCTTTATTGTTAAGTCTTGAAGTCAGGTAGTGTGAGTCTCCAACTTTGTTCTCCTCCGGTGTTATGTTTCCTATTCTGGGTCTTTCATCTCCATATAAACCTTAGAATCTGTTTCTTGATATCCAAAAAATAACTTGCTGGGACTTTGATTTTGACTCTGTTGAGTATAGATAAGTTGAGAGAATTGACATCTCAATAATATTGAGTCTTCCCGTTCATAAACAATGGAATATCTCACATTTACTTAGATCTGCTTTGATTTCTTTCATCAGTTTTGTAGTTTTCCTCAAATAACTCTTGTATGGATTTTGTCACATTTATACCCATGTATTTCATTTGTTTTGGTGCTGATGTAATAGTTTTGTGTTTTTTGTTTTAAATTTTAGTTGCTCATTGCTAATTTACAGATAAAAAATTGAATTTTGTATATTTATCTTGTATTTTGCAAACTTTGTGTATAATTCCTTATTAGTCCTGGGAGTTTTTAGTGACTCTTTGGGATTTTCTATGTAGATAGTCATATCACCTGTGAACAAAGACAGTTTTATTTCTTCCTTTCCAATTTGTATATCTTTTGTTTTCCATTTTCTATTATTGCATTAGCTAGGACTTTTAGTACAGTGTTGGATAGGAGATGAGAGTGAACGTCCTTGCCTTGTTCCTGATCTTAGAGGAAAAGCAGCAGTTTCACATCATTAAGTATTTCAGCTCGAGGGATTTTGTAGATGTTCCTTATCAATTTGAGCAAATTCCCCTCTGTTCCTAGTTTGCTGTGAGTTTTATCAGAAGTGGATGTTGGATGTTTGTTTGTTAAATAAACTTTTATTTTGGAATAACTTCAGATTTACAGAAAAATTGCAAAGATAATACAGAGAATTCCTGTATACTCTTCTTCTAGTTTTCCTTAGTGTTAGCATGTTACAGGTGATACTCTTATCAAAACTTAGAATACATTACTATTAACTGAACTTCAGGCTTCATTCGGATTTTAAGAGGTTTTCCACTAATGTCTTTTTCTATTCCAGGATCCAATCTAGGATACCATATTACACTTAGGAATCATACTAAAAGAAAAAAGTAGCACATGAAAACATAAAAGATCACATAGTCTAGTAGCTTCATAGTTGATTCCCAGATTCTGGAAGACCTCAGGGGCCCCCACTGTAGGGTAGTAGGGACTGCTACTTATGGAGCAGGGACTAAGTCCTGGTCTTCTGGACTTAAAGGGTGGCTTCTTTCTACCATTTCACGTTCCTTCTACTTCCAAAATTTTCCTTTCCCCCTTTCCTTAAATATTGCTTTCAGATCAGATCTTTATTAGCAGTGGTAGTTTGCTGGCATTTCTGTCCCACAATGCACCATTAGCCAGCACGTTCCTTCTACTTCCAAAATTTTCCTTTCCCCCTTTCCTTAAATATTGCTTTCAGATCACATCTTTATTAGCAGTGGTAGTTTGCTGGCATTTCTGTCCCACAATGCACCATTAGCCAGTCTGTGAATGAATTTAAGGAGTCACATCTGCAGGCAGGGTCCTTTAGCTGTAAGATTATCTGAAATTAGAGACATGATGAGAATATTCAGTGTCACGGGTGACCTCAGGGAGATGACTTTGACTATAGTTGAATAAAGGTGATTTGAATTAGGAGATTTGCTATCTGCTTGGGTTTAGATATATTCCTCTATTTATCATAACTTTTATATGCATAAATATTTTGAATGAGAGATGATGCTTCTAATATCTTCTTTCTGTTTTTCCAGCATTGGATTAAACTGTGCTCTGGGCGCAGCTGAAATGAGACCTTTTATTGAAACAATTGGAAAATGTACAACAGCCTATGTTCTCTGTTATCCCAATGCAGGTGTGTGTTTCAAGGGGGTTGCAGATGGGGAGATACATATACACAAGACATGGAGTAAATGGGGTAACAGATCTTGATTGAAATGGTTTGTTTTACTGGTCTTGCTATATAGTTGACACTCAACAGGAAAATTTCAAATGAAGAGTGTTTGGGTCTAGACCAGTATTCACTTTAGACCTGAAGGAACCGTTTGGCTCAGCCTGAAGCTTCAGAATAGGGCCTAATTTAAGGGAATGGGCCTGGTGACATAACTGACCAGAGCCTTTCCTTTGGTGACAGTGCTTGCCATGTGAGTGTGGCCAGAAATGGGTGCAAAGTGGAGAGGGAGTCCTTTTCTCTGTTCCCTGCTATTACCAGAAGAGCAGAAGAAGAATCTGTGTGTTGTTACCTTTTTTCTCTCTAAAAGCTAGGACTTCTAGTTTACTCTATGTAAAAATTCCAAAGATATTTGTAGGTAATTCTCAAATCCTCCAGTTAAATATTGGTAATCTGTTCTGGGTTAACCAGATTTCCCAATGAATGTTTCTGAGTACTGCTTAGCTACATAGAACTAAAACCCATTTTCCAGCCTTCTTTCTCCAAATGTATACTTTTTTTTTTTTTTTTTGTCTTTTGTCTTTTTTTCCGTGTCCGGCAACGGATCGCAACCCTCAGTGTTGCCCCCGTACCGGACCGGGGACCGGCAACGGGATTGCAACCCTCGGCGCTGCTCCCGCGCCTCGCCCAGCCAGTG